GGTGTTTAAAGAACGATTAATATACCAACAGAATGGAACATACAACTTTTTTAGTCGCTTGATAGTGCAGTTAGCAAAAGGGGATTAATATATGTTCTTTCTAGAAATGTTTATTCGAGAGGCTAAATGTAGAAGGGATTATGCGATATTTATTTTGACTGTGATGGCCAAGAATGGCTGTATTTTTTTAAAACTTCTTGAAATTTTTTCTACATGAGAGTTCAAGCAGTGTCAACCTTTAACTGCTCTGCTGCTGCAAATTTAAACTGCTCTTGAATTTGGTGAAAGAACCATCCGCTAATGTTGTTTAGTTTTTGAGATATATAATTTTTAAAATATCGACCAACTTGGGATCGAGTTTTGAACGTAAAACCTGACCTATACAGTATATACCTACCATTCTCTAGGAACAGCTAGAGAATGTTATTATGAGTTTACACAAATAATTTAAATCTTAACTTCCGTATTATCACCGAGTTATAAAAAAAATAATGAGTGGAGCTACCAGAAAAGGGGTGAATATCCAGATCTGAGTTATCCATTGACCCGATAAAAAAACAAAATAATCCTAGTGGATGCGTCATGTCGAAAAATCCCCATCGCCCAGAGGACATCGAAACTTGACAAAATTTAAGAAATGATACTTGTTGCAAGTCCCCTATTAAATATACAAAGTTTTGAAAAGTTTTCTCGTTGTTTATATTAATATCACAATATTAAATACCAAAAAAGCGTATATTAATTTAGAATATTTTTACCTAATACCAATCCGGATGAATAAAAAAATATTCGGGAAAAACTTTTTTTGTTGGCATAAAAAAAGATGAAATATTTTCATCTGGTGCATGTTGACTTTCAACGTTCTCTCGAGGATTTATCACTCGCCATGTTTTGGATAAATATCTTGGTGCTGTCTCTCTATTATTTATTTTCGTCTCGTTCTTGGAGTTGTCAATATTGTCATTATTATTATCATTGATGATTGATGTCTCTATAGGTTTATCAAATGATGTTGCGAATCGTCTCAAGTGAGACGATGATTGTACTTTACTATTGTTATTAACAATTTCTGGCAAATTTGTTTGTACATATTTATCTTGAATAGATGACGCTGGATGAACACTATAACAAAAGAATAATAGTGGTTACTAAGGATCTGCGTAATTAGGTAGGATAAGGTTGTCCTATTTATTTTCAGCTATTCAAAATATATATATCAGAGAGACTTTGTCAACGTTCAAATAACATTTACAATAATAGCATAAAGTACATATGCACTGTTTTGTGTCAATAGAAAAATTTTCGAATACCATTCTGAATATAAACGTTGACACATTTTTAGGTCTATTATAAGGTTAACATACCTTTCTAATGATTCTAAAATTTCTCCAAGATCATTTTTTGAGGTACGACTAGTTGAGGTTTGTGAATTTTGACGAGGATAATGACTGTTTGTATGACTTAAAAATCTGTTTTTCGAAAACTGCTGCGGTTGTCTAGCTGAGTTTCGTACTTCATCATCATATAGAGTATTTAAAAAACTATAAACGGCACGTCGATCTACAAATACATACAATTGTATACATAGTGCTCAACTTTTAAGAGACGATTCTATCGTCCTTTCAAATGATCTACCATCAATGGCTGCATGTGAGAACCAAGATTCAACAGTTTGTTTCGGCCAAATTCGTTGTTTTAATTCATATTTATGCTGTCTTGGTAAAACTGGAGACAGAAGTTTTGATGATTGCGGTATGACACCGGTTTTATGATAGGATAAATTTCGATTATGTGTTGGATTATAATTCAACTGCCTGCGTGACTGAATAAACGATTCAAGAAAAAACAACAATTATATGTTGAATTGAAAAAGTTTTCCAGTGACAGTTAACAAACGTAAAGAATAAAATTTATTTGGTAGACTCGTTTTTTCTTGTAATGGAGACGCAACATTATTCGAAACTCAAAAATTGTCTATACTTGTCTGGTTAGCTTATTAATACTCAGTCGGTAGAATCTACAAGAATTAGTCACAGGCACTACGCAAAATATCCTAAATCATATGGAAAGTCGACCGATTTCATTATCCTCTTTTTATCTCTTTATACTCGATATCTTAACTGAGATTTATCCGAACATAAACGCAACAAATGAGAACTAAATACCCAATGAATTTTTTCGATACCAAAAATGTCCTCTTCATGTGTTAACTATTTTTTAATGCAGTTAACAGCACTAAATATTAATAAACTTACATGCTTACATACTTAAGAAAACTTCTAATACGTTTACATGCGCTAAATTTAGCATACTAAATGTAAACGAGAAAGTTTGAATCGATTAAAAAGTTAGTAGTGCGTTAAAATGAATTAAAATGGGTTGTGTAATGCATTAGTCTGACAAAAAAACGCGTTTTAGTCTCATAGTAAATTATTTTAATATATTCGAATACGTTAAATGATTTCACACATTTGAATATATTAACTTTCTGTGAACGCATTAAAGTAATCCGAATTCAATCGAATCGAAATTAAATGGACAAAAAAATTGTTTTTATGCATTCGCACATGTAAAAAATTTTAAGAATTTTAAATGGGTTGAATCTATAAAAATGTAACAGGAAGGTTAACAACAAACAATTTCATACGCTCAAATGCATTAACTTTTAAGATATACGAAGGCGTTAAGAATTTTTTTATGTATCTAATGAGTTCAGACGTATTAAAGATACAAAATATCGATTTTAATGTATTCAACGGAAATTTTTTGCATCAAACAAAAACATTGGTAAATAGACACACAGAAAGAATAAGAGAATGACGGAAACAGTTCTCTTATTAAAACTTCACTATAATTTAGAGAAAAGAAGCAATGCAATTTATAAATATAGTAATGTAATGTTATTACTGTGTATATTCACAATTTGTTACTTGAACTAAAACTGAATTACTAAGTGAAAAGCAGATTATTTAAGAAAAATTCCGTATATATTCGAAAGATTTCAAATAGGACAAAATTGTACTTTGCCAATTCAATATAACTAATTTCTCTGAATAGAAAATCTTCTATTTTTTATTGACTTTATTGAATACACGTTTTAGTGTTGCTAAGAGTGTACAAGAGAATAAATCCATAAAACAGGACAAAATAATCGTTTAATCAAGTTGATATCAGTAATAATATACTTACACGATGCATTTGACAATTGGTTCTTGTTATTTAAAAAATTATAAGGTTTTAACACAGTTCGGAGACGTCTAAGTTTTAAGAATAAACATTTTTCTTTAAATAGATTATTAAACAAACCCGATATTTGATAGATTTACATATCAAAGATCGTTTTTTTCCTGTATATACCTGAACGTATATATAATTATAATACACTTCCGGAGATTTTTAAAGTTGTTTAACTCCCAAATTTGACTTGTTAAATAAAACACATCGTCAGTTAGACAAAGTTATAAAGAAATCCTTTTCATTCCTTTTTTTAAGAATATAAAGAAAATAAAATGGAAAAATAACATGACGAAAACAGTTTTAAACGAGGGTACAAGAAAAATCAGTTCACGTATTTCTAGCTCAAATTTTTTTAAAAAAAATCAAAATCTTTTGGATGAAATTAATGTTGATACTGTTTCCTGTATAACATCGTCATAATGTTGACTTGAAGAGAGAACAATTATTTTATTATTTTGTTGTTTATAATATATTGACATTAATTATCGTAGCAGCTATCTTTGTAGACAACTGCAAAACCAATAGCGAAGCGTCTGCTGATGTTAGATGGAGAAGAATGAAATATTGATTTTTTTAATAATATAATTTATAAAATATAATAAATCTTACATAATGTCTCTTTTCCTTCTTTATTATCCACTTCGAAATGTGACTACTTGAGAAATGAGAGAAGAATGAAACATTGTAATAGAATTGATTAAATAGAATATTAAAAGGAAAATCTTTTAATAAACAAAGTATTACACCAGTTACTAATAACAAGGGCTAACCAAATCTACATAGCTAATTCTGCCTTTTCAGAACATCCACAATAAAGTCGTTTAAAACAAAGCTCAAGAACTATCTTGAGTTTAATCGTTTTAAAATAAGGTGGCTAAGTTTATAGGTTTTCAGAACTTTTTTTGACTTCCCAGTAGCATGCTTTTGTTTTTATTTATGTAAAGATGTATATTTGTGTTCCTTTTTTTGCTTTCACTATCTATCATCTACTTGTGACTACTAAAATATAACTCAATCAATCAAAAAACTGATTGCCTTCATTCTTTTCACTTTTCAAGAGAGATATTTTTCCTTTATTTGTTTAAAATAGAAACTTTTCCGGGTAAAATCAGAAATGATCTCGGAAAGAAAAAAAAGACAGAAAAGATCTCGAGAAAATGTCAATTAAGCATTTCTGTATGGAAGATCTCGGAAAAAGTTATTTATATTTTTATTCTACACAAAAGATCTTGAAATAATTAATTAATTAATAGCAAAAGTTCTCTCACCCGCTTACATTCGACCTTCGGCACAGTGCAGTCTTTGACAAGACAATTTTTCAATGCAAAAAACATTTTGCAACGCATTGTTATTTACAAGAATATGGCACAAATGTAAACAAAACGAGAACAAGTTCAGTTTTCTAGTCTCGTTATAATGCTAATTTAATTTTTTTTCGCCTTCCTCTTTCTCTTCATTTACCAATAAGTTATGGAATAGGTCTTGTGTCCCACATCATCGTTAAATCAATTGCATGTATACATGAGTATTCTTTGTAATCATATCTATATGAGCAGAACCATGGTGGTAAAAAAACGTGGGCAATTGAGCAAAGGTGATGTTGATGATCAACGAACGAATTCATCAAATGATGAGCAATCTATTGAATTTAATTCCCATGTGGTTACATTTATATTTTATTTAGTTTCCACTGTTGCATAAGAGCGCCTCATTCCACGTACGACGTGACATTTTACTGTAGAAGATCATTTCTATCTTTATTTTTTTCCGAAATCTATTCTGCTAATTTTTCAAGATCTTTTATTTTTACGTCCAATTTTTCCATCTGTCTCTTTTGTTCAATTATATATGGATCTTTTTCTGTTTACTTTTTGAGTATTTAAAAATAAAGATTTGTAAATCCGAAGAAACTCATGATTACAGTCGATGGTTTTACCTCTTATTGCTCTGCTTGCTTTTCTGCAAAGTTAACCTCTATCCTCTATCCGTAAGGATTTGCTAGAAATGAATGCACACCTAGATTTCTCAATATAGGATGTTGGGTATGCTTACTTCGGAAATTGAATCAAACTTAATTCATTTTAATCTATTGTCCTACTCATAAAAAAGCACTCTTGGCGATGTTTCTAATTATCGCCCCGTCTAAACATTCATTTTTGTAGATAATTCAATGTTAGATATTCTACTGTTGGTGCCTTGTTATTCTTGTCTTTCACCACCTCTTGAGTTTTTAGAATGTTTGTATAAAGTGTGTTCTGGCAACTAAGTAATCCTGTTAATAGTCAGATAGCCCGTGTTGGTTTTATTCTTTGTTCTATTTTGTCTTTTATTTACCTTTTATTTTTATTCTTCTTTTTTGGTCGACGTCTTATTTATCCTTTTCTTGTTGTTTAATTCGAGTCATTGTCTTTATTGGTCGATGATTCACTTTTTTTTGAATAGATTATTATTACTGTGTCTTATCTCAATTAAAATTTCTTTTAGAGATAAGTGATTTGAAATCGTTGCAGTGACATGCCTGAAAAGCGTTTGGCTAAAAAAATAACAACTGCTACTTGGAAAAATTAAATTATTTGAATTATTTTTAACATTGAATTAAGACTTACAGTTATTACAAATCTGTACCGTGACAATGAAACCTCATACAAAATTCGGAGACGCCCGATATTTGATAGATTTACAGATATAAGATGGTTAAAATAGAGACTGAATTGTGCTAATATTATGTCCCGCATGGAGCTAGTATAAGAGGACAAGATAAACTATAAGATATTTACTCTGAAAAATGAGCTATCTTCCAGCTGTTACATTCTGATTCCGAACCCGATCTCAAAATTTAAAAATCTTAGTTAAACAACTGAAACCCCTCACCCGCACATGTAAAAAATTTTAAGAATTTTAAATGGGTTGAATCTATAAAAATGTAACAGGAAGGTTAACAACAAACAATTTCATACGCTCAAATGCATTAACTTTTAAGATATACGAAGGCGTTAAGAATTTTTTTATGTATCTAATGAGTTCAGACGTATTAAAGACACAAAATATCGATTTTAATGCATTCAACGGATATCCATCAATAATCATTTGTCCATAATAATCAACATTTAAATTTAACGTTAAATATTTAGAATTTGTATGTATAAGAAAAGACTTTCCATCATGTGAATATTTTAAAAGTTAATACATTAGTTGATACATTAGCTATGGTTGATACATTAGCTATGTATCATCATGATAATAAGAAAAACATAATTCCGGATATGTCAACATGGTTTCATTCTAAAGTCCTCTTTTATATTTCATCGACACTTTATCACAAATATAAACATGTATCTAGTATAATGGCTCAAAAAAAGCACAATAAATTCGTGGATTACATGAAATAGAATTAAATCTGGTAGTTTTAGAAAAATCAATAGTAAACTTAGTCTTGTTATCGCTGTTCCTCATCTCACGAAGTGCAATCCCGATTTATCAGACAAAAATGAGAAAACAAAAATTATAGACTTCATCTTCAAATACTCTTCAATATCTGCTAAAGTAACAACAAAGTCAGCTTGTTGCTACAAAAAGATCAGTTCTAGTAAACAACAAAAAAGAACGTCAAAAGAAGAATGTCAATACAACAGCAATATATACATACATATATACGTTGGATAACTAAAAGCGAAAAACAGAAACAAAAAATGAAAAATGTCAGTTTAAGTGTCTTCAGCCGATTTTTTGTTAATATAAACATTTATTATTGGGTTTATAGTGTGGGATAAATCAATTTGAACAGGAGAACGATATCTTTTGGACATTGAACGTGAACTCTGATTTCTTTTTAATGCTTTTGGTTTTGAATTATTGCTAACGCGATTTAATGAATCTTGACGACCATGGTGAGACTGTGATAGTCCAGCTAACGATAAAGCAGTATTTACATATTCGTATGCAACTGTATTCACTGTTAAAGATCGTATTATATCGACACCTATTGTCGGCATAAGAGTTGTGAACGAACTGTAAACGAGATTTTTAAACATATTCCATTTTGTTCGTTGTGGTTCAACAACAACCTGATTATTATGTCTTGCTGGTTTATTAAATAAAACCGCTGCTGCTGACCATAAACCATTCAAAGCTATGCCGAACATTATGTTACAAAAGAAAGTCTACAATACTAAAAGGAAGTTAGAGTTCATAAGTATAAAAATATGAACACCATTTTGTATAGAGAAAGGAGCGTCTACATGTATAGGTAAAAATGTTCAAAGTCAGATCCAGACTAGCTACAGGCATCCCGTTAACACTTTTTCAAGCTCGTGAGCTCGTGTTACTAAAAAAGCTTTATCAGAATGCGTGTCGGGGCACGTGCGTGAACATTTATCTATGAGAAATTTAATATGACAAACTACTGAAGAAAAGTTAATCATAACTTTTTTCAAAAGTGGTATTCCATGGATGTTGACTGTTGATTCATAAAACTGTTTGTTGCAGCATAGCATTTGCTAACGTTTTATGACCCCGTGATAAATAATATTTTTCTTAGTACTTTTTCGCCTTTAGAAGTTGATCCAATTGTTTCAAAGCTGTGTTTTTATTGTTATTTTTAATCATCTTTATTTTTAAATTTCATACTTTGAAAAAAAAAATTGTCAAAAGACAAAAGAACACTCTTTCTAAATTCAAAATTCCCACCATGACAGGTCTTGATTTTCTTGACCAGTAACTACTTTTCGGATTTCGAACGCATAAACTTTGAACACTTTGCGAAAAATAACTTAGCAAAATAAATTTCATTAGAAGCGCTGGTATTCTTCCAAGTTAGTAAAGATTCTAGCGATCCTGCTTTTATTGTATATTTTTTTTGTACAATTATCTGGACAGTTCAAAATAGAACCGCAAGAGCTACTGCAAATACGAATGAACATAATAGAAACCTTCAAGCTAACTGTCGTTCGTTACTCTAAACGTTCTCTTTAGTACAACCTGAAATATGCTTTAAAGGAAAGCAAACAACAGCTCTTTGGTTATGATACGACACAACTAAACGCTAATGAGACTAAATGCTACAAAGTTCGAGCACGTACTGTCACTACAACACGGTATTCAACTCATTTTTTTCTTTTTCAAGTCGAATATCAAGTGACTATCAGTCCAATGACAAAATGCTATAGATGGCGGCAGTAGATTAGGCGTGACACGTGCTATGAAATAAAAAAAATCTTTGATTTTATATTAACAAATTTCTTTCAAGTTTTAAATAATAGTAATCCTCTAGACCTATTGATACCGCTATTGGTTGTACCGATAATTGTTGCCTACTCGTTATTCACACTCCGAAGCATTTTTTTGGTGTAGTGGGAGAAATTAATTAAGTTATACTAAAAGTTTCTTTTACAAGCATTGTTGCATTCGAATATAGAATTAACAAATATGTATTTGATAACTAAGTATAGTAATTCACGATGTTTAACCGATTGTTTGATTAACAAGAACTTTGAAATTCAACCAAAGACACCGAAAAATTACGTCAAACATCGAATCTGTATTTTATGACTAAACCATTTTTATTATTGAGTAATCAGATAAAACCAAAGGTAGGTGTGTTATTAACCATGTTTGTTGCATTCTGTAATTTCATGTGTGCATATAATTGATACTTACGGGAGGTACAAAAACATGTTATTATCAAACTTACTTTTTCTACAGATTCTACATTTATTTTCTGTTGTAAAAAGCGAGTGAAGAAAAAATTTCTTTTCCCCTTTCGAAATATTTTTAACATTTCTTTTGTATTCAACATAATGGCCAACAGAACCGACAAACATGGTTTCTCAAAAGAAGCACACGATAAGGTTAGATGAATACCCGTATTTTTGTTAAGTAAAAAGAAAATGAATTATTTAATACTCGGACAAATACAATTATTTCAAACTTTCTTCATTTAATTCCTTATATTTAAAGCACGTTAGTTCTTGAAGTATACTCAGGATCAAACAGAGAAGAAAACTGTTTCTTAATCTTGAAAATTCTATAAAAACCAGCGATAAATCAGAAAAGAACTGTCAACAGATTTTGCGTAATTTCTATCAAGATAATAAAATTTTTATTTTGACCAGGAAAAATAACTATTTCAACAGTCTTCTCTCAGTTCATATAAAGACGATTTGGACTGTAGACATAAAAAAAAATATCAATATTTAAAAAATATTCAATTTCCTCATATATAGTTACAGGTATAATCAAAACAATTGGAAGTAATGTTTTCTCTTCTATGCTAACTGACTTTTTATTAAACCGTCCATATTATATGTTTCTATGTTTCCGAACGAACAGAATTCCTTCAGAAACGACTATTGTTATTAATTTTCACATACTTCTATTCATTCACTTGTACATTTTATATTTTTTAAAATGATATTAATATCTGAAAAAAAAATAAACATACGTCTCAATATAAATAAATGTATTCGATAGGAAAAGCTTGTACAACAAATATTTACTAGAGAGAAAAACAACGAACTTGAACATGGTTGACTTTAATTATACTTACACATGTACATTATAAAAGAGAATATTTGACAAATACATGTGAATCAGCTAGAAAGGAGAAAAAAAAGATTTGAGTCATAATCACAGTTTTTCTTTCTCTAGTTCGGATGTAGTCTGTCATAGTAAACTTTAGATAAAAGAGTTTTCTCTATCTTCAATAAAACACTTACAAAAACTTCTGAAAATAAAAAACAAATGATTAAAACAGCAGTCAACTTTGATTTTATGTACACTGTCAATGAAAAGATTATATTTACGATATTGTTCAATTGTAGAAAACAGACAGATGATCATCTCGCTCCAACTAAGAAGATTTTGTTGATCTCTATATCTTTTATATTTGAGAACATCAAATGCCGTTTTAGAGTTTGATTTGACATTAGTATTATGAGAAAAGTCCCCGTTTAAAGAAGATTTTGATGATTTTTACATCTACTCTGTTAATCTATTACCTGTGCAAGATCACGTGCAACGTGTATGTATTTTCAGGTTCAAGCTAAATATGATGTTGAACAGGCCCAAGAAGCATTACAATGGATAAGTGATCTTACTGGTGAACAATTTGATACAAATGGACAAAAAGATAATTTTTATCAACAATTAAGAGATGGAAGAAAATTATGTCAGTAAGTTGAAATGAATTATCTATAGTACAACTCATAAAAACTTAGTTGCTCCATTTTTGTTCTCGCCATTTTAGGTTAATGAACGCTTTAAATCCAAATAGTATACCGAAAATAAATTCAGGTGAAAATTCATTCAAACTGATGGAAAATATTTCAAAATTTGCAGCAGCAGCCAAAAGTTATGGTCTATCAGATGCTGAAACATTTCAAACCGTTGATCTATTTGAACAAATGAATCTTCATCAAGTAAGATAACAAAAATAAATTGTTCTTTTCATTTCAATCTAATTGCTTTTTTTTATTTTTATTTCTAGGTGTGTTTATGTTTGCATGCACTCGGACGAAAGGTAGAGAGTAAAATCTCGACATACGGACGTATCTGGAATTTTTTTTCTTCTCTTTGTTAGGCACAAAAAAAAGGTTTATCAGGACTTGGTCCAAAAGAAGCTGAAAAAAATGAAAGAAATTTTTCAGCCGAAACATTAAATCAAGGCAATTCAATAATAGGAGGACAATTAGGATTTAATAAAGGTATAGCTAAAAGTTAATCGTTTTACTTTTCTAACAAAAAAATTTAACTTATCTAGGCGCTAATCAAAGTGGAATTGTGTTTGGTAATACAAGGCATATGTAAACAAAATGTTACCAGTATATCGGACATATTTTACGAGTTTGAAAGTCAAGAATTTGGATATAGCTTTATTAAACGCTTACTTTCTTTTATCATTAATCCGGTTTTTATATTTATTTATATTGTAAATGTATTATTTTTATTCAAAAAAAAGTATTTTTTTGATAAAGGTTCGTTTGCTGATTTCTATATTATGTGAATCCTAATAAATCAGATAAAGAACGATTTGAAACGGTATTGTGAAACTTATGAAAAACAGCTTATATATTACCTGTAAAGAAGGATGAAAACTTGATAGCCAAATATGACTCCCATTTATTTACAAGAATGTCTCTTAACGCTTAGACAAGAACTGGAGAGAACCATATTTGACATAGGCAAAAAAAATGGCAGCATTTGGAACTAAAACTAATAACCGTAATCTTAGGAAAAAACAACAATAGAATCCCACTCTCCGCCCCGCAAATTTTTTAAATTTTTTACACCTCTTCCCCCCCCCCTCCCCCAAAGCTGACTTCCTATTTACGGTCCTGACTAGACCTACATCCAGGATAGTAGATGTTTTTATTAAACTTGCAAGGTCCATTTATTTGAATGATCGGGAACCTTGCGAGATGAATTACACTGTTCAATCTAATATATCGCTGATGAAATCTTGATCAAAAAGTACTTTAACAACGATAGTATCAACAAAACTGAATATGCATGATCTAACTATATTCTCTCCTTGCAATCTTACCAAGTTTGAAATAACTTTTTTTAAAAATATTCTTGTTTATAAACGATGATAAATTATTTCAAGTTGAAGATATTTTTGTCTTGTCACGCACATTCTTTGGATATTAAGAATTATAAAATAATAAAAAATAAAATTTAACAATGATTCTACTTTTTTCTGTGTTTAAAAAAAGAAAGAAATACAGACCAAACGCAACGAAAATTGAGTTTCCTATTAAGAAATGCAAAAATAGTACAGAAACACCAATAAACAAAAATATCACACCAACAGAATAAAAACATTTTTAAATTTACGATTTTTTAATAAAATCTTCCTGTACTTTTTGACGTAAATAGTCTTGATAGAAGATAATATTACCTGGCCACTCGGTGATGGCTTTCTTCTCACATACCCATATCTTCTCTGCTACCTGTTAAGAAAACGAAAACAACGCTTAGAAGCTTAGAAAATAAAATAAAGAAGAGAAAAACAGCATACTTATTTAATCAAACGAAAATTACGACTAACAAGAATCATATCACTGACGAAAGCTCTTAATCACATCAACTAATGTATCAATTGCTTCAATATCTAAACAAAAATAAAAAATGGACTAAATTTTCT